GATGAGGTCTTCCTTCTCAGAAAGGTAAAATAGAATTCAGTTGCAGATAGATAATTTTAAATTACTTTTAAATTTAAATTACTTTTGGTTATTTTCTACATTCTGAGGAGAGTGAATATAGATTTCACTGGTCGTGTTTTCCCTTCCCCGTATTCCCACTTTTGGAATGTGAAAAGTCAAAGTCCAGTCCTAATTTTTAATGAAGATGTAATTAGCATGCTGGAATTTTTGAAAGTCATAATTCATCTTTTTTCTTCAGGATGATTTTCCTTACAAGTTCTGTAACGTAAGGTCTTATTTCTTCAACAGAGACAGTAGAGTCCCAGGCCTTTACAACTTTCCCATTGGGGCCTACCAGGTATTTCCAGAAGTTCCAGGTTGGTTCTTCTCCTGTAGAATCTACAGGGAAGAAAAAACAAACAAACAAACAAGAAACATTAGCCAATTCCTGACATTTGTTTGCTCCAGTCTGATGATTACCATCTCAAAGTAAGAAGGAATGTAAAATTAAGAGGGAGTTCAGAGTGAATATTAAGATGAATTTTCTGACATGGAGATTTAACTGGACAGTAGTGCCCTGGAGAATGATGGAAAACTAACAGGGAAACAAAAGGAATGCAAGTTCCACATGACATGTCTGCAATGACAACCCCACTACAAAAAACAGAAATGAAAGGACATGAAGGGGATTAAGGCAGTGTTGGCTAGCAGAAAGATCTACAACGGACACCTAGAGGGAGGAGTACTTTGGGTAGCCAAAAATAATACTAGCAGCACTCCTCTAAATTCAGTGGAACATGGGTAAACATTGTGGTTCTGGCAAGAATAAGAAACAGTATGGTTCTTGCAGAGTACAGCTCATGTAATGCCATGTCATATTGGTTTTTACTATATATCATTCCTGGAAGATACTCCATTCACATTGGATAAAGGTTGTTATTATAGTTTGGCATTTAAATGGCATTTAGAGCATCCATTCAGTGCCTGAAAAGTAGATCCTTGAGAATATTTTGTTTTACAGTGTATTTTGTTAGCTGTCTGCTGAGAACCAGCAAAACCTCTTCAGGTCTCAGTGCTAGTTCTAATGCAGATTAGAACTGGAAGAACTGTACAGTAAGGCTCTTTTAATGTTTGGTAAGGAAGGAGGAAGGGAGTATTCAAGGTCATCTCTTAATGCTTGGTTTCACCTTTTGATTGAAGAAGTAAATTATACAGTTGCTTTTCTTCTACTTATCCTCAGCTCTTCACATGACTCTCACAAATCCAACCTGCAGCAGTTGTGTCAGAGGAGACACATTTACTAGATTACAAAGTGGAAAAATTAAGATGAGGGGTTGTATGCATACAGGAGAATATTTCACAACCTGTATTCCACGTAGAAGGTTATTAGACTAGCTTTACACGGTGTTTGTTATTGTAGGGTCTTTATCTCTTGAGATCTATTTAAAAGGCTAAACAGACCTGTCACGGATGCATAGACAGAAATCCTGCCTTGTGCAGGAGGATGGGCCGGATGACTTTTGAGCTCTCCTGACACTTATGAACTGCAATTCTGTGAACACAGTTATAGGTAACCTTTTTTGATGAGATGGTTTCCTATGTCAGAGGGATTCTGTGCTGGGGAAACAACCCTCCAGTAGCCCAGATTACTCACCAATTAAGTACTTGAAGGCAGGAATTGCACCAGCTCCACTGACTGCGATTTTGCTGAACATAGGAAAGGTGGCACCATAAGTCTTTCGTGCAAAGCTCTCAATTTCTTTGTTAGTGTCTGGTTCTTGCTGCCCAAACTGATTGCATGGGAACGCCAGCACGTTGAAATGATAGGGACCAAGGTCTTTCTGTAACTGTTGCAAGGCCTTGTAGTGGCTGTCCGTAAAACCACATTCACTTGCAACGTTGACAACTAAGGACACCTGAAGAACAAGAGAACAAGAAATGTGCTGCATGTGTCAGTTTTCCAACAGGTAGGCTGGGATGCAGATTATTTTCAGAAAATAAGAATGTCTGCAGAACTGGGACTGAACATTCATATTTGAAACTACATTGAATTGCCAATATGTAGCCATGAAAATAATCAAGAATCTTAAACTTCCAGTTTACAGAGAACTTGCATGTCTCTGTTCTGCCTTTTGGATAGTTTCTAGGCATATTTAAGAAATGACCATCTAACTGAGGCACTCTGAGCTGCATGAAAAAAATAATTCAAATTAATATTTTGACTGTCCATTTCTCTGTTGTACAGCATCTGTTGTGCAGCATCTTCCCTTGTAAAGAATTTATTACTCATACAGAACTGGTTGATCCATTTATCATTGCCAGCGTAGATATCTTGACCTGGAAGTTAATAGCAGCAATTGGAGGATTTTAGGGTGGTCTATGCCATATGGACCGTAAAATTTCACACCCTGTCTAGAATAAATCTACTCATTTGTGACGAAATGGCAACATATTTTGCATTAAGGTTTATTGCCTCAATTACAGATTCTGAGTGGTGAAGAATGTACCCACTCTCCTCTGAAAGAGTTATTCCTGTAGATGACCATCTTGTTGATGATGTGTGCATCATGTCAGTCAGACAATGCCATCAGGCACTTATCTGCCTGCACAGATGAGGCAGAGAGGAAAATGCCAAACACAGACAAACACTGTGTGGAAATAGACACACGTGTAAGGAGTACAGGGTAGAACAGAATGTGCCAAGAATTTGTTGAGGAAATTAAGTGATCTAACCCTGAGCTGATGCATTTTACACAGTTTCTCAAGGCCATGAAGAGCTTCCCGATGTTTTTTGAGATATTTTATCCTTAAATAACTCCTAGAATTTGTTTTAGACTTACAGGTTTTATTATCGTTATGTATTTTTAAATTTACAACTCATTCTACATAAATTGAGCCCACGCTAAAGTTTTCTTGAGAGTGGATTCAAACTGAATGTTGTAGACCTTTCAGATACGATATGAATTTATTGATAAAAATAGCATTACACCGTTTATAGTGAGATTTCTTTTACTACATGCTATTCTTTTTTCAAGCCATTCTGTAAGAGCAATAAGCCAATATTTTTATGCACCCAGAAGATGAATATCAGGCATAGTGCAGAAGAACCATTATGATTTGGAAACCAAATTTCTACCTGGTTTACAGCATATTACGTGGGTTTCTACAGATTATACATCAGCCCAGCAGTTGCTTCTTCATTCTTAAATTGCAAAAAAACTTTGAATTCAATTCGGTGTCAGTGGGAGTCAGCAGTGCTGGAGGGCCCAGTGCAGCAAGAGGAAAGCCTGAAGCTTGGACACGTTAATTGACCTGATCAGAGTTACGCAACAAGTAGCTGCAGGGCAAGAAAAGAAGTAAAAAATTCCAACTCCAGTCTTCATACTCATGTCTGTGACTATTGGCTTTGCTCAATTTAAACTTGGGATGTGAATGTTACTATTGTTCCGTGTTCCTATGCATCTGTTTTTTATATAAAATATAGGAAATATCAATGGAGTACATCAACATAAATTATGTAATATATGAAAAACAAATGACTAATTGTATATAGGACTTTTAAGGCCAAAACCCCCAGTGGCATATAAAAGCTCATAACCTGGGTAAGGCAGGGATAATAGGGTGATATACCTGAGGGGGTAGGAAGCAGTAAAGAAAAAAGGTAAGGAGAAGCCGGTGTTTATAATTTCTTATGCAAAACATTAGCACTTTGTGTATTTAGCGCATTGTATAAGTATGTGGCTGTATTTAAAATGGTTTCTGAGTGGCACTTTGGTTTTCCCTGAAAGACAGGTAATCTTACAAGGCAGAAATTGCTGTAATCTTCTTTGCACTGTAGTGTCAAGAGAATGCAATCTAAGCAATCCCTGTGGACTCACATATAAAGTATTATCTGGAGCCATCTAGCTAACCTCCGAAGCATCACATTCATTCAGATTACATTTAGAAGCTCTATTTGAAAGTTTAAATATATGCCGTATAACTTGTTTTTGTTCTTTTTTTTTTTTTTTAAAGAGGTAGTGATTTTATGATGCATTTCTGTTGCTGACTGTCAGCATTTCATATAAAACATATGTACTGAATCGAATGATTGCTAAAAACTTTTTCCAAGTTATCTTTTAAGTGTTTCTATCTGGTACCACAAGCGATAAAATGTGGTGATCTGTATTTAATTTTAATTAACAACAGTTACTCTTTTTGTTCTCATTAAGAGACTGTACTTTGACTCCTTACAACTATTAATGGTTGAAATTAAGCTCAGTACTCCTCCTGACTGACTTCTCTCACACCTTAGACTCAGAGAGTGCAAGTCAAGCACACCACCTAGTGTGCAGCACCAACAATTCACCCTGGACCTTTCAACAACGATTTAATTTAAGCTGAATTCTGCATAAACGGTTGTCTTATCTTTTAACCCTATCCTTTCCTTCCCTTTCCTTAGAAAACCGATTCATTCTAGTACTGAACTCATTTAGTTAACATTGCAAATGCAGTTCTTGGTTTACTTAACGTTTACACAGTGTATCACCTTGAGGAAATCCATAGAGATTTAAGAATCTGCTATAAGCTTCAGGTAATCCTTTGTGGATCTTTTAGCAGAGACAGTAGATACTCGGGATTTTAGACCAGGAGTTTATTAATTGGCCCCTTCTGGCTGACGGGAGAGAAACTGCGAGGGTCACATTACACCGACTCAGAATTGTTAACTTTAGGGACAAAAATAGCAATAGTCTGTACAGTAATTAAGTATCTATATCCTGTATTTACACACATTCAGTGATACTACATTCCCTGCCTGCAGAGAGCTATGATGCAAAGTGCCTCCCATTACTTTCAATAGTAAAACAATACTTTACATTGTTAAAATGCCTAATGCTTTACATTATTATAGTACCTTTGCTTCAGGATTCCCAAGGCACTGCTCTAGTGTGCTTAATTATGCCTCGGTACATTGTACTCAGCTGTGGTAGGCAGGCAGGTACTATTATATGCAGATGGATATAAACAAAGCAGGGAACAGTTAACAACTGGGAGTTCTGGCTCCCAGGTAAACCCTATTTTTGGAAAGACTGCTGCTTGCTTACAGCACATCTGAGAGAGGTCATAAAATAAAATAGGAGCTTTCTTGATTTAGGTAGGTATTCTAGTAAGATGAATATTATCTGCACCCTTTCAATTCTTTTCTAATGATTCATCACTACCCATCATGTTTAAGGCAGGTGAGTCAACATCACTCTGATAGCCTGGATAAAGAATAGGAGGATGGCCTTCTTGTGTAACAGAGCAAAACAGGCAGCTTTTTGATCTATGGCACTTGTGGTATTTTTTAGATTTTATTTTACTAATTATAATGGTCCTCCCTTTCTCTGCTTTCAGGTAGATGTAGTATGATACCTATTTTGTAGCCTGTATACCAAACTTTTAGAATTCTGGTGAATATCATTTCTTATGCCTTCATAAAAAGAGAGTTCTCCCTCAACTCCTTTGATAATTTTATTAAAGTGGAGGCCAAGTTATGTTTGTGCATATTTACTTCAGGGGAAAAAAAAAAAAGTTGTGTTTTAAAAATGTTTATTATTTATGAATTGTAAGTAGTACATTTCTTATTTACTACATAAGTTGTGGTACTCGTAATTTATATCAAAATGCACTTGACTGGAAATTGAATTAATATCAGTCAGCCTCACTTTTCTTCTGGGTAAGAAAATTTTACCTCTGTGATCTGAGTATGTGCTAATTTGTATTAATAATGAGTTATTGAAGAAAGATCCTGCAAGCAATGAATTGCACTTACTGGTTCTATTCAGCATGGCTCTTGTGTTTTTAGAATTAGCAATTTTTTTTCTTTTCTACTCTGGAAATGTTCTGAGTTTTTCAAATCCCAGTTAGTTTCTTGACTACAAAACAAATAATTACTTAACTAAATCAGTTGAGTGACAGAGTTGAAGAAAATACTTTCGCTACATCTGCTAGAAAACTTAAGGCTGTTAAATCTGGTTTAGCAATTAGCAGACTATTGTTCCAGGGCTAACTAGTGATTCACTTTCTTTAAAACATCAGCAGCACCAGCAGCACGTACATAGTACTTATATATTATTTGCATTCTTTTAATTGCTTTAAAATAGTACGATAAGCCTACATCTTAGCATTACTTATCTAACCACAGATTTAAGCAAGTTTATTTTAAGAAATAAATGGGAGCTTTAATTAACCTTTGTTTACTTTAATAATGAGCTCTGACAGCGTAATGACAGAAAAGGGGTGTTTTACTGTTCTAAATTAGTTACAAATTATGATGTGCATTCTCAAACAGCAGCTGGACTGAACATTGATAGGCTATCTGAATGCAAATCTCTTTGTTCCATACAGAAGCTGGTCATCCCTTTTTTGAAATGAACTATTCCATATAGCCTAGCAGAGACCAAGGAGGATGGCATTACCTTTGCCAAGGTATGGCTCTAGAGCTCTCCCTTATGAAACCAGTCACCCATCAAGGACAGGCTGCTATCAGTGCCAGTGGAGATGCAGATGCACACCTCTAATCTGTTATGAGACACAACAGCAGGCTCTGCAGCTTGTTAGGGAGGGGGTAAACACCCACAGATCTCTGTGGGGTGGCTGGAAGAAATTCCTCTCAGTTTCCCTTTTACTCCTCTCCGTGTGGATTCTGGCCCTAAAGTAAAACTGCAGGTGGTATTTGCTTATTCAGACAGATTTGCAGATGACCTGCAGACAAAACACACCATGCTGACAGGTTTTATTGACAGAGCCTTTGAAAGGAACTCCTTAAAAGGGGAGGAGGGTGGTGCAAATATTGCTTCACATTAGATTTTTTTTTTTTCCAGTATATATATTTGGGTGTGCATTAGACCACTTCTGCCTTATCCACTAACTAAATTGCAAATGCCAGAGGAGGAAGAGGACTTTGACCAGATAAGAGGCTCTCATTTGGTTCAAATCCACAAGTATTCTTCTCTGCTTAGCTCAGGAAAATGTACCTCTCCCATGGGCCTTCTCTCATCTTCCTGTAAATGCTTGTGACCCATCGTTGTGGAGCAGTAAGCTCAATAACCTCAGTGAGGTACCTGAGGAGAGTGAAAAGGATGGTGAAAACACAAAGCTGAGGCTAAAGGTGAAAGTGAATAGTGGCGCCTGCCCTTCTGGGTAGCAGCTAAGCACTTGGAGCACCTGGCTGTTTCACTTAAGATGTGGCACTTGACTGCTAAGTGTGGAGGCTGTGGGCTTTGTGATGTTTTTAGTTTCTGGAATTTGTGAACCTGGCTACAAAAACTTTATAGTGTTATGTCCCCCTCCTTGGGCTACCCTCCCTCTTCTCTGTTCCACGGGGACTAAGCATCTTTCTTAGATTGTCAAACCACTAAAAAAAAAAAAATCAAATTACATTCAGGGCAATTGTTTTTAAACTGGTAAGCTCTGCCTAGAACTCCTTAACGTAATATATAAATGAAATTTAGAAGACATCATAAAATAATGTGTATCTTCTTGCCCTTCTTCAGATTGTTCTCTGTCATTCTAAAATCAACAAGCGGAATAGGACGATGTTGCTACAGTTTTACTGTGCACCAATACTAAAATACTTATTTTATCAATAAATCACTTTTTAATCACTCTTTTTTTTTTTTTTTTTACTAATGATGGTGAAATGTGTTAAGTCCACTAACCACTGGTTAAATCCCTTTGTAAACGCAGAACTTCAAAAAGAAATGGAATTCAGGGAAAAATAATCTACTGAAAGTCATGCAGTAAAAAGGCAGAAAAAAACTCCAAGAGTAAGCTGTACAAAGGTGCAAACTTCCTGTGCTTCTAGTTTAATAGCTGCAATCCAGTGCAATTCATCTTGCTGCATGAAGGACAGGCACAGAGGCATTCCTTGCCTGCCACGTATACAGGGAGCAGCCTGCAGAAGGAAAGGACTCGCCACACACAGGGGTTAGACTTGCAAACGTTTTATTTACAGTGCAAAGACCTACGGAGCGCTATCAGAGCAAGCTTACAGGCAACACTCCAGATCAGTTAAAGAAGAGTCGTAAATACAGATCTATCTGCATGCATGCACCGAGTTAATAATGAACAATCTCTTCTCCCGCACTTGGTTTCCGCAGACATGCAAGGACTGGCTGCAAGCGCCCGAGAGCTGCCCACCGCCGTGCGGACTTACCGAGCCCCTGTACTTCTCCAGGGAGACTAGCTTGCCCCTGATGTTTACAACTTTGAAAGTGTAAAAATCAGTCTCTTTCTGCTGCGTAGCGGAAAATGCTAAGAGCAGGAGTGCTGCAATTGCAAGGAGCATGGCTAGAGGGATGAGAAAAACTTTGGGGAAGGAAGAGGACGGCTTGTGCTCCACACTGCCCTCAGGATCTAGCATGCTGCACGACCGCGCTGCAGAGACACTTGCCACAATAGCAAAACCCTGCCGGAAAGAAGGGACTGCTGCAAACGGAGCTTTTGCAACAGTCTGGCTCCTGCAGAGGTTTAGTAGAAGCTGTGTTAACATGCAAAACCTCAGGGGCATGTATTTATGGAGGATTCAAATAGGCTAAACCAGAGTGTTTCATTGTGGTAGTGGTGTGTTAAGGGAGGCCGTTTATGGGTACAACACCTACTTCCTTCTGCTTGAGAACAGCAACGCTGTGTCTGTGGGATGCCAGATCTAGAGGTTGGCTTTAACCATGTCCTAGGGAAATAAGGGATAGAGGTTTATGATTTTTGATGGACCTGCAAGTGCATTACTTTTTTTTTAGTATCCTGACTATAGCATCTAGTAACTATGATGTAATGTCAAAGGATACCGGTGGCTTGGTTGCTAATGGTTACAGCTGCGAGTGCTCAGAGCAAGAGTCCCAGCATACAGTCGGCAAAAACTGAGAATTACAGACATGCCACACACAATATCACGTGCAATGGAGCACTGTTTGTCAGGCCTTCAGGAACTTTTCCTCTGTGAGCGCTTGGTTTGTGACAAGTGACAGGGTGATCTAGGAGAAAGCACATTACCAAGGAGGTTTCACGTGAGAAAGAAGCATTAAGCATTGGGAACTAAATTTGGTACCAAAGCTTTCAGTTTTCAGAGCCATGCCACTGCCTCAGGATCAGTGCACTAATGCCCTCCTTGGGTTGTCTGCATGAAAAACCAGCCATTTCTATCATTTGCTACTATGCCTGCAGGAAGAAAAGGATTTGTATGTACAAGATAACAACAATAGAAAGCATTTGATGGTCATTGATTTATTTTTTTTCTTGGACTAAGAAACTGGCTGTCCATGCCTCTGACTGATACTTCTTGGCAAAGAAGAGCAAAATTCAGAGATTTACAGAAAACAATTAAGTAGCATATCCAAGGCATATTGGAAATCCATCTTTTGAAGAGCAAGTTTTATTTCTTAATCTTACTGCGTGATTTTCTTTTATTTTTTCTTTTTTAACTGAAAGTTTTGGTAGATTGTTGGCAGCTTGATTAAATTTGGTTAGGTGATTCAAGCATAAGTGGCATTACTGAAAGTGCAGAAGCCATGTGTAACTAGTTCAAACATTAAACGACAGGTTTTCAATATTTCAGATTGAGCATGTTTTTATGTATTTCAGCTTAGGTAGACATCTAACACCAAGAAATCATGCAATATTCTACATGGATGAAAAATCTTCTACCGTGCTGTCTATGGGGAAGATACCCAGTGCTAAGAAGCTGAAGTTCTCATCTCCACAGGTAAATGCCATTTCCTGTATACTTTTCTGCCTGTAATATTGACCAAGAACTAAGTATGATTTCCTCACTTTATAAATAAATCATCTAAGAAGCTTTAAAGAGTTTCTTAACACGCATCTGGAGATAGAAAATAGGGCTTTTATATACTACATACTTTTAAATAAATAAATACAAGTGAATTCTAAAAATAATCAAATTATTCCAACAATGAAAATAATGTAACTTGCTTATCTTTTTTTTTGTTTGTTTGTTTTGTTTTGCCAGAAAATTAAAAATAAATCTACAATACACTTCTGCATTATTTTTAGGTATAATGATATAGTAGTTTTGGTATGGGGCTACAAATAAGGCATCACACTGCAACATGAGACAAGCGAGGTTTTGCTCTGGATAGGGACTTCATAAATTCTGCTTCCAACAGTTTCATGTTTATTGTCTCTGATTCCTAGACAAAACTCGCTTGCTTTTAGAATTGCATTTTCCTCCTACAAACTCAGCCCAGAATCTGAATGCTTTTGATCACTGTCACTGAATTAGGAATTCTTTAAATAATGGCCAGCTGGCAGTGGAATTCAGCTTCCTCTTTTACTGCCATGTTTCTATACTACTCCCTGCAATAAAACATTCAACATCAGCAAAGAAAGCAGAATTGTTTCTGAAAAAACACAGCAACTATGTCAAAGACCATTGGTTTTGTAGCGGTTCAAGTTTTCAGAGCCAAAATGCTCTAACATGTTCAATTAAAGTCTATCCAACAGTTTGAACTAAATTGTTGAAAGAATCTGATACATTCTAATAAATTTCAGCTTGCAGGAAAAATGCCAGTCAGGCTAACAAACTGATGTCTGTTTGCTCAGTAGCATGTCTAAATATCGATCTAGGATGACAATATCCAGTAGCAAGTATAATTTAGTTACTTTTGCAATTTACTCTTTGGCCTACTAAACCTAATAAAAATATTTGTCAAATAGGACTGGATTGAAACCACCACCCAGCTAACCTCAGCTGCTCACCAAACAGCACTGAAGCACTTCAATTTTTGTCACTGCTGATTTTGACAGGATTAGGCCCATGTTTCTAAAGGCGAAAGCTCTGCGCAACTTCCCATTAGCAATACCCTGAGGTACCCATTCCTCGTTTTGTAAAACTTGAACTTCAAGTGAACCATGAGAAAGCAGATTAGCTCTAAGGATTGCACTGAACTGACAATACATTTCAAAGGTTTATTCCACCAGCATTTGTAGCATCCCACTATTACAGATTTTGCAACTTTTACCTACACAGACTCCCTGAGGTAATGTTTCCAGCACTGTTATTCACATTGTTTTGAGTAACTTCCTTTCAATCTCTTCAGTAGCTCAACAGCAATCTTTTATGCCCCTTGTTTTTCTGGACAGGCCTCCTTACCCTGGGCTAGGAAGTGCCAGCAACATGACATTTCCCTGCCAAGGGGTAGTGCTGTACTGCATCACTGAGAGATTTGCTTTACGTAAACACTTGCCAATTTCTTTAGGTCACCCCCCAGCACTGCCAAGAGCTGGGCACGCCAGCTCTTCTCCCCTGAGACCTGTGTGAGTGCCAGCAGACACACTGGCCAAGCCGCTGTCCCTAGCTGCAGCTGGGGCCAGCTTTGCAGCCAAGGTCAGGGAGCATTTCCCTCAGTGTGTCCCGTGTTAGGGAAGGGCCCTGGTAGGTTCAGGGTGTCCTGCAGCTTGTTTACCACAGGCTGCTTTGTGTGGAGCACACCAGCCCTCCTGCAGCATGCAGAGCAGGCGAAGTGGGCAAGAAAACCCCCCAGGCTCGGGCTGTGGTGGGGGGCAGACCCTCAAGGAGCCACCACAGCGGATGAACAAGCCAGAAGCCGGCTCTACGGGGCAAGGGGGGGCCGGGCATTCCCTCACGGCTTGTGGGGAAAAAAATGAGGGGAAAAAAATGGAGCAGCTGATTCCCTCAGCCCCCTGCTGCAGCACCGCGGGAAGGCGGGGAGAAGGCGGCAAGGGGGGCGCTCCCCCAAACCGAGGGAGCCCCGGGGAAGACCCGAGGGGCTGAGGGAGGCTGAAGCGAGCCGAGCCGGGACAAAGAGAGCCCAGACGGGCCAAGGGCAGCCGGGCCGGGCTAGAGGGAGCCGGGCCGGGGCGAGCCGCCCGCCCCCGGGGCTCTCCCTCCCGCCCTGCCCCACAATGCAGCGCGCGGCGCGGCTGACATGGCGGCCGGGCCGGACTGAGCCGCTGCCGTCGGGGCCTCCAGCAGCCGGAGCCGGGCATGGCGGGGGCGCAGCCCCGGCACCCTTAGGGCCGCAGCCAGGTACCGGGCCCCGGGGGGCCGGGAGGGGGCTCCCCCCGACGGGGTGAGGGCGGCTGGGCGCGCTCTGCCCTCTCCCCTTTCCCCTCTCTCCCCCCCGTGCGCGGCGGGGCGAGGCGGGCTCGGGGGGCTCGGTGCCCGCGGAGCCCCCGGCCCCAGCCCCAGCCCGCACGGCCCCGGCCCCGCCGCCCGCCGGAGCCTCGCAGCCCTGGGGCCGGGCGCTGAGAGGCTGCGAGGGGGGGTCCCGGGCCAGCCTCGCCCGCCGGGCCCCCGTCCAGCCCGGCCGTGGCCCCTTTTGCTCGCCCAGGGGAGAGGTTCGGGGTTGTGGGGGGTCGCGGGGTGCCCGCAGCGCGTCCCCCCGCGGGGCTGTGGCTCCTTTGTGGGCTCGTCTCGGGTGCGGGGCTCCGGCTCCCTCAGATGTGCCAGTTGGCTCCATGTGTCACAGCCCCCGAGGCCTTCTTGCTGCTCAGGTTGTTCCTGGGAATAGCGGCGGGGATGAGTGGTGAGGGCGCAGAGGAACAATGTAATCAGGTTCAGGCTGAGGTATTAGGGAGGGACTGGTATGCGAAACAATAGTTTTATCTGCGCGGGGATCCATTAATTCTTTTTGTTTTTCACGCCACCTCCACGTCACTTTGCTTCGTGAATGCCTTGCCCTGCCTTTGAGGGTCATTGCATCTGCTTGGAAATAGAGGATACATGATGTTTTTGTTTGACTTATGTTCCTAGCTCGGGTAGGTGCTTTTGGATAGTCTGACCCTGGGTAGTTATGACATAATTATTTCCGAGACAAGAAAAGTAACCCAGAGGTGGAAATATGACTTAATTACAGTACCTGACAGAAGAAGCTATATTAGGAGTGAGAGGTCTCCTTTTCAACCATTAGTTATGTAGTGAGCTTTTTTCTACCTGACCTTAGTGATAATCGCTTCATAAAATTATTCTTAGGGTGAAATTGCAGTTTCCCAGAACATACGTGTTGGGATATGATTGCAGAGGATACAGAGAGAGGGATCAGAAAGTTCTTTTTGCGTTCTGTCCTTGCACAGACAACAGCAGGGACTTTGTCTCCTTCCCACCTAGCACAGGAACAGAAACTGCCAGGTGCCACAGGGCACCTGCACCGTACAGAGGGTATTTGCCTGGTTCTTCCTCTGAATGGAATTGCTGCTGCAGGGACAAAGGGGAGAAGGATTTCCCTGTGCCCTACTTGAAAGCAAGATATCCCTTGGGAGCTCTTCTTAAATTTCTTGTTGATCTGCCTGTTGTGGTTTTGGTTTGTATATTCGTATTGGTAGGTAGTTCAAAATTTTGCCCAGCTGAGAGTATAACCTGCTTTCTAGTTGTGCTTGCTTTTACATTTTATGAAGTGTTTTTACTAGATCAACTTTAATTATTGTCCCCATCTTGATGAGGTTAACGCAATATTGGTATGGAGTATTTATTTTTTTCATGGAAGGACAGATCTTGCGTTTTGCTTATTGGATTAATTTGCAGCATGGAAGCCATCCAGGGGAAGTCAACGTTTCTGATGCTTTTGGCGCATTATCAAACAGCGTACAATAATAATCACAAGTTGTTTAATTGTACATAAGTGATAGATCAGTAACTCTTTTAACACAAGTACTGAAAACACATTGCCTGAGTTTAGTAACAATGCATACGAATCTCATTTTTGCTTTTGAACAGTGCTGCATTACACAGATGTATATGTGCCTGCACTATACTCTTGGTTCTGATGTTTTAGTAAATCTTTGGAAAAAAAACAATGCATCACATGTTACTAGATTACTTAATTTTTATTTCTGCTACTGTGTGAAAGAAATTTTGCCAACAAGAAGTAACTTTCAGATTTCAGTTTTTGGTGTCGGCAAAACTTGACTTGTGAGTCTGGAATCAGTTTAGTGGTACGAATGGTTGTGAATCAATCCATGTGCCAACTATATGAGTGTATTTTTGACAGCTTTTCAAAAGTAACAATTTCCAGTGTATTTCTTTCAGAAGTGAAAGTGCTGGATCCTAGTAAAGCCGGCGTAAGGATGCTAGTGGTGACAGATCCGTTTGCTTTGGCTGTGGTTTGTGAACTAGTTTGCAGCTTGTACGAGGCAGTGCAAAGGATGGCCTCCTAAAGGATTAGGGTTTGGGTGGAAGGATCACTGTTAATACAAGATCCAGATAAAGTTCTATGCCAAAAATACACACTGTTGTATTTTTATTGAGCACAAACAGCAAGTAGAAACAGCAGTTTAAGAACAAGATGGATAGATAGAGTTTAAATACGTAGCTGCTATTTAAGCCAGCTTCATGATCAGTTCAGGCCTCCAGAAGCTATGTTAGCCTCTCAAAGACCTTACGCTTATGTAGTGCTGTATTGTGTTTTTTTCCTCTTTTTCCCTTTTTTTTTTTTTCTTCTTTTATTCTCCAGCCTCCTACCCTGTATTGGTACAAATGTTGTGTTTGTTCTTAAAAGTTAGAGCTAACTTGGATCGGTTTCCTGATCTGGTTACAGCATGTACCTTGCAACACAGAGCAACATTTGAGGCAGGTGGTACCCCTTTTTTTGGCTTCAGTGCTTAAGCCGATTGCGAAACTGTGGTGTTTTTCAAAAGTTTAAACGACTAGTACAGTAAAATTGGGGTCAGACCCAAAGCTCGCTGAGGCATTAGGTATCTTTATATGAAATCCAGAGGGAAGGGAAGACGCAGTAACGTAGTTACACAGCTGGTGGGACGGAGGGAGGGTGGCTTTCCTCTGTTTAGAGTGGGATTCGTCAGCAGTGGTAGGTTCAGAATTTAGTCCTTGGCATTCGCTGGTCGGTGACACACCTCTTTCGTGCCTTCCCAGTCAGTCCGACCAGCTTGTAGGAAACACAACGGCTGTCAATGCAAATAGGAGCTAACCTGTATCAAGCACACTCTGTATGGATTTCCTGTCTTGCATATCTGCTTGTTTAAGGGCTTAATTGTGGGATAGTTATACCTAGATAAATTAATGCTAAGCTTTGCATAAAGCAAGGCCCTTCCTGTTACTTCTGTTACAAATGGTTCTTGCCTAATTCAGATACAGCCTCATTACAGTTTTATATCCAAAGTTGTTTATCTAATGAATCCTTCTTAGAAGTTTTTAATCCTCCACACTCATGTTTAACATCACAGCTTCCTACTTGATTATGTATCTTTGCTAGGGCCAGAGTGCTGGCTTGCTGTGTCCCTGTTTGTTTTTTTTTGGGGGGATTTTAATTTTATGTGCGTGGCACTGGCTTCCTTCTCGATAGATTTTCGAAGTATTATACTTATTAGCTTAAATCCTGTCGCTTCTAGAAACAGGAAGGTCTGAGACACAGTATAGCACTTACATGCTTGTTACTAAGAATACCTATGGGTTTACTGCTGGTGGAGCCTGAGGCGCTTTAGTGGCCAGTAATCTCTGATAGTTTTAGTTTTAAGTAGTTTGGAAAAACACCAGGGACTGATAACAGTTTGTGCTAAGTTACGGGTAGCTTATCATAAAGCAAACATAAACATATTTTTTTAAGCAATTGGCACAGGACAAGGGAGAAGCTTGAATTGAAGCTTGTGTAAGTTCTCAGTTGCAAAAAGGGGCCTGAGGCTATAACCAGCCCCAAAAAGAGGCTCTCCCTCTCCCCTGAGCAGATAGGGCTGTGTGGAGAAGGAGACATTACCTGGGCTGCAACATGAGCAGAGCGCACAAGAAAGCCTTCCCTTTTGTTTCTGGCTGTGGCCTTTGTTTGTTGAATTTCATTTTATTTTGTTTGGAGGTTCAGCTGGGCTGTATTGGAAATCTGCCTGGGGAGGCTGAGGTTTATCAGCCCCTTGCTGCTGGGAGGCAGGGAGGTTGGAGCTAAAGGGAGGGTCTAATGAGACAGATTAAAGCAGGACTCAGATAAAAAGACAGGTCCCTCTATCTGTAGGGAGTGAATACTTT